CAGAGCGGATTTTCTCCTCCCTCGTCCCTAAATGTGAGAAGTGCCAGGGGCTGGTGAAACCTGGTGAGTTTTGGGGCTGGGGGGGCTCAGCAGGGATTTTGGGGAGGGGGTCCCAACTCCCACGCACTGACCTGCCCCCCATTCTCCCCCTTCCCCAGACATTGTGTTTTTTGGGGAGAACCTGCCCTCGCGCTTCTTCGCCCTCCTGGAGTCGGTGAGTGGGGTCTGGGGGGCCCCCAATGCCACCCCCCAGGCTGGATTTGGGACTGGGGGAGGCTGAGATGACCCGGGGGGGCTGAGGTGATGCAGGACCCCCCCCCTCCCCCCCAGTGACGCCCCCTCCCTCTGCAGGACTTTGGGAAGGTCCACCCTGCTGATCATCATGGGGACCTCACTGCAGGTGCAGCCCTTTGCCTCCCTCATCAGCAGGTGAGACCCCCCTCCCCCATGCCCAGACCCCCCCCAGACCCTGGGGAGCCCCCTGTGACCATCCCCCTCCCACAGGGTCCCCACCAACACCCCCAGACTCCTCATCAACAAGGAGAAGACAGGGCAGGTAAGCTGGGGGGGGGAAGCACCTTCAAAATCTCATAGTTTTGGGGGTCCCCCTGCCCCCCAAACTTTTCTGGGAGGTGCTGGGGAGGGGCTTGGAGCAGCTGCCCCCGCCTTGTGCCAAACCACCCCTTTGTCCCCCCAGAGTGACCCCCTGATGTCCCTGATGGGCTTTGGTGGCATGGACTTTGACTCAGACAAGGCCTACAGGTATGGCCAGGTGGGGCACATGTGTGACCAGGTGGGGGGCTCTGTCCTACCCCGTGGTTTTGGGGACCCTTAAAGTGGTTTTGGGACCCTCAAAGTGGTTTTGGACATCCCTGAAGGTGGTTTGCAGGACTTCTGTCGAGGTTTGGTGCACCGCAAGGTATTTTGGGGCCAGTCAAGGGGTTTTGGGCACCCTCAAGTGATCCTAGGCCCCCCCCAGGATTTTGGGGTGACTGTGGGGTCCCTGTGTCTGCACAGGGACGTGGCCTGGCTGGGGGACTGCGACAGCGGGTGCCTGGCTCTGGCTGAGCTCCTGGGCTGGAAGGTACTGCCCCCCTCCCACAAATTCTGGGGGTCCCCCTGCCCCCCAAACCCTTGTGGGACCCCCCTGAACCCCCCCATGTCCCCTCAGGAGGAGCTGGAGGAGCTGGTGCAGAGGGAACACGCGGCCATCGACGCCAAGGGCGGGGACAGGGATGGGGGGATCCCCCAAAAGCCCCAGGGGGACGAGGACAAGGACGGGGGGAGCCCCAAAAAGAGCCTGGGGGACGAGGGAAAAGCTCAGAGTGAGCCCAAGAAGGGCCTGGGGAGCAAGGCCAAGGCTGAAAAGGACCCCAAAAAACCCCAGGGAGGGGACAAGGACAAGGCTGAAAATGACCCAGAAAAGTCACGGGGGGGGCAGTGAGGACCCTCCCCATAGCACGGGGAGACAACCCAAAATTAAATGGTCACAGAGGAGTTTTTGGCTTCGTGTGGTCACTGGGGGCTGGAGGGGCAGGGGTTCTTTTATTCCTTAAAGGAAGAAAGAGGAAAACAAAGTAAAATACAGGAAAGGGGGAAAATAAGTTAGAAGAAGAAAGGGGGAGGTTGAGGGTACAAAAAGGTTTTTTTCCTCCCTTAAAAAGGGGTGTTGCCATCCTAAAAAGAGGTGTTACAGATTTAAAATGTGTTGGAATTCCCAGGAAGGGTGTGGGGGGATGCGTGTGCAAAACACTGAAACCTGTGAAGTTTCTCACTTTTATATCTGCTGAGAAATAACATTCATTTACATTAAAAAAAAAAGTTTCAAAACAAAGCTCTGTATCTGCTGTGTGGTATCTGGGATTGTGGGAGACAAGGAAGAGTGAATATGGATGTGCGGGGTTGGAAAATGCAAATGTGACTTTTTTGGAATGGCAAACAGGACTCATTGTCCACGAGCCAAAACTGGCCAAAATTTGGATTGCACCTCCAAAATCCCAAAATCCAAGGGTTGCTCCTGGAGGGAAGCTGCCAGGACAGGGGGGTCTGGCCGGGCTTGGAGCTGCCCCCGGGATGGGGGGCGGAAAACGTCCTTTCCTGTGGGGAAGAACCATCACAGAGTCACAGAACATCCCGAGCTGCCCCCACAAGGGGCATCGAGTCCAACTCCCGCCCTCTGCCCCAGATCCTTTTCCACTCCCAAGGGTTTGGAAACCCACCCGGGCTGGGAAAAGTACCCTGGAAGGACCCACACTCACACCAAACGACTGCAAAAACCTTGCTGGCGTAATTCCCACAGACTCACAATGCATGCTATGGGAACTCAAATGGAAAACACTGCTTAGAGGGGCACTAGCCACTTACAGACAAAGTACCAATGCATTGCGCCTGGAGAAATCCTGTGCCGGCCGTCTTCCCTGTAAAACCAAGATCACCCCTGCTGCGTGTCGACGTCCATCCGCAGGAGGCACGTGGCACTCCGAGGGCAGCCAGAGTCCTGGGCATTGGCAGCTGCGGGCTGTGAGAAATTGTTCTCTGCAGTTTTGGAGGCCGAATTGCAGTTTCTGCCATGGGCACACAGAGAGGGAAGGCTGGTAATTTCCTTAGAAAGGAAAGCCTGGCACCCCATGGTTTAAGGGGCAGACAAAGGGCTGTATAGGGGAAAGAGCTCCTCACAGGACCTTTCTTCACCTCAGCCCCCACTCCAAGGTCTAGCAGCCCCCCGTGTGACCAGCTGCTGTCGTAAATACG